GAACGCGTTCATTCTCAGCGCTGTACATAACGGCGTTCAAGAGTGCGTTCATTCTCAGCACTGTATTATAACGGCGTGGTGTTGTTGCAGGAAGTCCCGACGGGGAATACTTTTGCGGTAGTACATCTCTATATACATCGATACAACATTACGTGTTGATTGAAATCATCACATAATGAAATAAGACCCCACGGTTTGATGATTGACAGGTGTGTGGGCTATCTTCCATTTTGACACACAGAACAAGGGGGGGCGATCCACCCGTATCCAAAAATGTAAAGTAATTCAAACAGACTCGTCCCTCTGTGAGGAGCAGCAGGTTCAGCTTCATTTAAATATGTCGTGCAGTAATAGATGGATTTATTTTTTTCATCTCAAGAGAGAATGTGTATTTTATGTTAGTATTTCAAAAATCTCCTGGGGGAGAATCCCCCCAGACCCCCTGCGGGGGTTGGGTTTTCAGCATGTCAACTCTTTCACTTGTGAGGAAATGGCAGGATTGGCTCCAGGTCGCCTTTTTATTTACTACAAGACAAATGTTTTTATTTTATTTTAATTTCATACAGTTCAATTTGGATTGAGACAGGGAAATATTCTAAACCTCACGCGTGGCGTTTCACTGACAAGGGGGCGATATAGCGTGTATGTAATTACATTTCAAATACTGATTTGAGCCCCACCACTGTATGGGTTAGCCCTACCATAGATTATCTAACACAAATACTCGGGAGCCGATAAGTCAATAAGTTGCTTATCACGACAGGCACACAATAAAACAGTGGAAACAAACATGTGTTTGACTTTCATTATTTAATGAAACTGTGTGCCCTTTTATAGTCTGTGTCCAATATTGTGTATTTGTATATATATATTATATATATATATCCTAAATATATGCTAAGGTCCCGCTACGGACACGATAGCAGTCGCTTCGTGCGCATGTGTGTAATTAAACCCATGATATCAAAATCTCACTCCAGCCAGGTACCCAAAGTTAGCAACCCTGTCCATACCCCAATAATATTTTATTGATGACAAGTTTGCATCCCTGCCTGTTATCGTTTTCATCACGGAGCTGGAAAAATGGTGTATTGATTACTGATCTGTGCAAGTCCAATTTGTTAACTGACTTTGGTTCTAATGTTAATGTTAATTTGATTTCAACCCATAAGTAATTATTTAAATTAACTCAACATTCCACATGATGGATTAGTGTTCCACATTTTTCCCACTAATTTGTTTATGATTAGGCCAATGGTAAAGAGAGACATTGATGACCCTGTGTCCTTTTGTTAGCACGTGGTTCCATTTTGTCTAATGGCGTTGGACAGCTTCACTAAGAGTCACCCAGTTCTACCCTGCTACAGTCCGGCTGAGTGCAGTCACAGAGATGCTATGGCTGCTCTACATGACATTAATGGTTTGGTCCGAGAATGGACACCATTTCCTGCTCCCAGAGAGAATGACGCTCCTCACACTGAACAATACAGCCATTGACACTGTCTCACGTGGGTCTGCTCCCCCCCACCGAGCCATGAACTGGAAGCTGGAATTCTGCTATGAACACTTGGAACTGTCACACCAGCACCAACCCTTGGGTCAGTTAGATGAGACTAACGGCTTCACTTTGGGCATATGGGTCAGAAATATGACTCTCGTTACCACAGAGTGGGTTGTTTGTTTTTTAAGGCTATTCATACTGCTATGCAGAGTGAAGAGCCCCTACTATTTTAACAAATAGACCTGATGTCAGGGGCCTCTTACTGTCTACTTCTGCATGTATTCACATTATATGGACCATGTTTACACCTGTTGAAACTAGGGCTGCACGGAACTCAGGCTACAATACAACCATTTTTGTTCTGCTCTAACGATTCAATTTATAAATTCTACATCAAAATAGTTCGTTTTTATTGTTTCCAATGATAACGTCACCTTAAGTGGAGGAATGCAAACCTGTTTTAAAATGTAAGGTTTTGAATTTCTTTGACATTTCTCAGTAATGACACCCTCAGACGCCCACTATCATTTATGCCAGTGGTTCCCAAACTTTGTTGTGCCCAAGGCACACCAAAGGACAAGTAAAAAATCTCAAGGCACACCTATTGTGAAAAGATAGCCCTTATAACACGTGTTATCACTCATATTATGTAAAGTATCTGTAAATGTGCATAATTATTTACTAATGCCAAATAAAATGTGACAAAGACAACTATATTACGAAATATTTCCGAAATTAATTTGAAACTTTATCAAATTAGGCTTCATCAAAGCAACACTCATTTACACCAGACAGGTCACAAAATAGAAAATGAGGCAAAAGAAACTCAGCAGAAATTCAGCACAGACAACTGTCAATGCAAGGAAGCTGCATTGTCCATGGTCCGGAACTACAAATTATAAATGTATTACTTTAAAAAAATGTAATATATTACACTGCTTCGTTACTATCTACATAAAGTAACTCGGTACTTTACTCGTTACTTTCCTCGCCGAGCACGTACAAACTGCGCATGCGTGAGTGGCAATAACTTTCCTTACCAGCAGGCGGCGGTAGTCAAGCCCCCAGGTAGTGCGCCGGACTCAGATGAAAATATTCGTGCTGGCCAAACGGCGGTACTACACTTCCGGTTTGGTTGCCAGGCCCGAAAACACTTTTCCCATTGACTTACATGGGGAAAGAGTGGTCTGTAACTCGTTGGATAATTTTTTTAACTAAATAAACTACCCAGTATGAACACTTGTATAGCCCTTATTAAAAAACATTCGTTCCTCAAGTTGTAAAACATTTGCTAATAACGTTATTCTGAGAGTTATTTCCCTCTGCATTATGAACGCTCATCTAATCCACGGGACCGCGCAGCCCGGCACGTTCATGTTACGTGTCCCGACCAATCAGAGCACACTGTGCTCACAGGGAGGGTGCTGGAGCCAGGCTCTGGCTGGAGCTTTTGGAGCTACAACGAGCGTTAAAGGCAGAGAGTGAAATTTCAGTGAATACACGTAGTTTACAGAGATGCTGTATGAGGAACCAATGTGAGTTGCGTTTATCTTTACCCATGGATGCACAATGGGAACGGATCCATATCGTCTTACTGCCATCCCACGGAGCTGTAATAATGGATATATTGCACATGTTTGCTGTAATTCATTGTCATACTACATGGGCTGTATGATTGAATCTTGTACCGTAAATGTTGTATTAAATTGAGTTAATATTACCGATATCACTAGATCATTACTAGCTAGCCGCTAGCTGCTAACTGCCGCCTCGTTCATATCAAATCCATGGCGGTAGTGTGTATTTGTCATTTAATACAGGCAACAACCGGAAAACAGAGAAGAAGAACAGACTACGTGATATAAACAAACAACAAATAGCTGTGCGTTAGCTTCACCTTAGCATGTGTTCTTTGCAGGTGTTTGTTGAGGTTTGATTATGACTGATTTTAGTAAGTAACGAAGTAACGCGTGTCTGGGCAATGTTAGTAACTGTAGTGTGATTACTGAATTATAAAAGTAGCGCATTACACTACTCGGTTACCGACAAAGTAATAATATTAAAGTAACGCGTTACTTTGTAACGCGTTAATTTTACTTTGTGCCGTGTTACACTCAACTCTGGTTACGTTACCAATGAGGGCCAGCCAGGGACAAGGGAGGCTGGCAATCAATTATATTTTGAAGAGAAATTGACTGTCAAGCCGGTGTTCCGGATGAACTGGTTTACAGAGGTGGGGGGCGTGGCCTTCGACTGAAATACACATTTCGATCGCTTCTTCTGTCGTTTACATAAATCTTTTGGTATATTTGGCTCGGTTGGAAGACTTTGATGCACATTCAGTACCAGTGTGTGAGGTTGTGGTTACGATCGAGATATCCGGACGCGAACAGCGGGGACTACAAAGGGAACAATCTATTTGACACAGCTGAAGCTCTGGCCTTCCTTAAAACTAACTAATTTAATAAAAATCACAGTTGTATTACACACAATGCACTGTTTTTTTTAGAACAAAAATTCGTAACTAATGTAATTTTTACATTCTGACGAAAAATAAAAATGATTATGAATACAAATAAAATAAAAGAAGCCTCCCGTGAGTTACTACAAGCTATAAAGTAGATTTAAAAAACGTTTTATAGAATAAAAGCTCACTGCGGGACGTTGTAGAAATGCGTGTGTGCACCACGACAAAAGAGCCTCATTTCACTTTACATTGGGGTTTTTTTGCGTGGTGCCGACACGTAAATGTAGCAGAATGCGTGACTCCACCACGCAATGCGGTGTTAAGGAGTCGTGGTGGAGTCACGCATTCTGGTGAGATCAGGTTGGGTTAAGAAGGATTGACAAAAGCATTGGACGACGACATGCACGCGCTATGGATTGCGTAACCAGTGTGAAATTAATAAACTGCCAGGTCTATCGTATGCACAGTAAATAGGCTCAGCAGTTAACACACCTTTATTATATATCCTCCTGAGAGCAACTGCATCTGTCTGCCATTACCCCTACAGAAACCTACTTGTTAGTATTGGCCCATAATGGCCTCCATTTGTGTCGTGTAAAATGGGGGAAATAAAAAGTTAGCAAATCCCCATGTCCTCCTCAGAGGACATTCATAAAAACATTTAGTTGTGGTCAAATAATTATTACACTGCTCTGAAACTCACCACACTAACTCCTAAGATGTTCCCTTACTATAATTAATTAAAAATATTGAACTCACAACACTGGTAATTACAAACTTAACAATGTATCTTTCTATAAAAATAGTGCTTGTGTTGATGGACGCCATTTTGAAATACAATGAAATTATCTTTTTCAAAGCTACATATTTGGGGTGGGACACAATAAATAAAGCTTTGCCAGTTTATAACCGATGAAACATGATGGTATCAGAATAATCACTTACATGTGATGTATAGGATGCTACACAGGTCACTGTAAAGATAAAGTGTCAGGAGAAATAAGCAAGATACAGGATCTGTTTAATCGCCATGTAGGTTCTCTTTTATTGCACACTCAAGACAATATCAATAACGGCATCACGCTGTCCCAGGTGTGTTGTATGCATGTAAATACAAGTTAAAAGTTTTAATGTAAATAGAAGTTAACATTTTCAATATAAAAGAAAGTGTCAGTAGTATCAAAACAATATACAGTATATATATACTGTATATAATAACAATAATAGGTAGGCTCAGCAGCAGACACACCTTAGTGCAAAGTGAAGTGTCAGTATTAATAACAGTGGCATATATATATAATCACAATAATACAACATTAACTGTCCCAGATGTAGGCAATTTGGGGTGAAGTGTCTTGCCCAGGGACACAACAACATGCTGACTGCAGTGGGGTATGAACCTGCGCTCCCCTGATCCGAACACCAACGCACTCACCCACTGCGCCACACGCCTCCCAACATGTCATTGTATAGTTTATCAACGATGACAAGTTTTTTTTTAATTGAAGGCCTATTGGATTTAATCAGCTCGCTTAGCACTGCCAGAAGCCCAGCCTGAAAGGCTGAGCATGGCACGGCGGTCCTCCATCGCCATGATGGTGTCAGGGAAGCTGTCATCCCGGGACCGCTTTCCTAAGAGGAGAAATAAGCAAGATACAAGATCAGTTTATTTGACTAGTAGGTTGTCAACAGAGACAACATTGGACATGGTGCAGGCAGGGACAGTGTATAAAATGCAGGTGTAAAGTAGAAGATAAGATAGGATCAAATAATATCAAATACAAAATACATTTCAAAGTGCAATAAATAAGTGCCCTTATTTATTTATATATATTATATTTTATATATATATATTATATTTATATTATATATATATATATAATGATCAAATTAAGAATGAAATACATAATTTGTTTCAACTATTCTTCTATTATATATATATATATATATATATATCATTTAGTAAAACATAATTTTTATATTACATTTATATATATATTTCAAGTTAGTTTTTGTGATTTCATTACATGTCACTTGTTAGACGCTTTTATCCAAAGCGACTTACTGTGGACAATCCCCACAGGAGCAATTTGGGGTGAAGTGTCTCAGGGACACAACGACATGCTGACTGCAGTGGGATTCGAACTTGCTATCCTCTGATTCGAAGATCAGCATACTAATCCACTAAGCCACAGCCTCCCATTATAAATTATATTATTTTTTTATTTGATATATTTAATTATTATTTTCTTATTTTACTTATTATTTTATTTAGTGGGAATGCTGTTAACAGCATTCCAACTAACTGTTATTCTACGGACAACATTTTTATTATTATTCCGCCGACTTATTTTGTTCCTCCCGCATTGAACATCGCAGAAACTCCGTTCAAACGTCAAAACGTTCAGCTCGGTCGGGAATCGATGGCTATTACTTTTCTCATTCATAACTTTCATAATTCCAGAGATACATCCCATAATACATCAATTTTTTAACATTGAAGTCAATGGAGGAAATCTTCAGACTTCAACAAATCTTCATGCGACTTCAACTGCTAACTGTTCATTCATACTTTCACTCAGAAACCTCATTCCAACTTTAAAATGTTACACATCTTTCTGACATTATTCGTGTGGAATTACTTTTAAATCTGATTCTTACTTTTAGAGATATTAAACATGGTTCAGACCTTGTTTTAGAGGTTTTCTTCAGATTTTAACATTACCTAGAGTGCGTGATGTCACAGCTAGAGGGTAGAACATCTTGAAATTTGCCTTCATATATTTTTTTAAAACTGCCATAATTCCCAAACCCTACATTCCTGAGACATCATTTATCATGATAAACGTAGGAAAACATCTCGTAGCTTGAAAAATGACAAATAATTAAGCAAAAAATAATTAAACAAAATGCCTCTTGAGGGCATGAAGTGACAAAAACGTTCAAAATTCCTCCATTGAAGCCCATTGTAATTTCAGGCAGATATTTCCTCATGGTAGCAGCCGCACACCTTTAGTTAAACTGCCAAAAAGGCCACATTATTAACCCGAAACTACACAGAAATTACACTTCAGATACTCAACTTCCTTGACATGCTTCACGCTTTGAAATTTCACAGATATCTGTTACGGTTCTTCCACAAAACGTTCACATGTAAGAGATGTATCTCTCATTCAGAACAATGGAAACCTGTGATCTCTGCACACCTCGTTAGCTCAAATATAAACACCTGTGTAATGGAACACGAGGATGTCATCACTCCAACTGACATGCTCAGAGCAGCAGACTTCAAGCAGTGTGCTAACAGTCCAGCCGTGAAGACATCCGGGACAGTTTTAAGATTTCTTCAAATGCCGTTGCCATGGCAACACATTGCTCGCCTTGAAACGCGGTTTTCTCATAACTTCAGTGAAAATACTCCAAACAGCCCAGAACTTCACAGGTTTGGTAAGGATGCGTCCATCAACGCATCTAAGCGTATTATGGGGTGTCATCAAATGCCGTTGCCATGGCGACATACCACTCGCCATGAAACATGATGTGGCTGTAAGTCCAATCGACACAGTCCAATCATCCCCCAATCTTCACTTGTATATCACCGGTCCATGCCTCAACAGCTCTACGCCAAATCTGAGATCTCACCATATGCCATTTCCATGGAAACTCATCCCTCGCCATAAAACATGATGTCGCTTTAACTCCTATGAAAATGTTTCGAAAGTGCTCAAACTTCACATTTGTGCTAACAGTCCAGCCGTGAAGACATCTATGGGACAGATAGATTTGAGATTTCTTCAAATGCCTTTGCCATGGCAACACAATGCTCGCCATGAAACACGGTTTTCTCATAACTTCAGTGAAACTGCTCCAAACGCCCCAAAACTTCACAGGTTTGGTAACGATGCAGCCATCAACGCATCTAAGCGTATTATGGGGTGGCATCAAATGCCGTTGCCATGGCCACAGATCATTCGCCATCAGGTTAGTTCAGAAGTTTGCAGTTCAAATATTCTGCTGCTTTTCCAAGCCTTTTTACTTTCTTTTCTTCTCTCATCACCAGTGTTGGGACTAACGCGTTACAAGTAACGCGTTACTGTAACGCTGTTACATTTGGCAGTAACTAGTACTCTAACGCATTACTTTTTACATTCAGTAACGCAGTTACCGTTACTACATTGTGCGTTACTCCGTTAGTTTTTTTTATATAGTCAACAGCCAGGCGAACAGAGATGAGAACTGTACCTAAGTACTTGAGTAAATGTACTTAGATACTTCCTGTGTCACATGCGGAGACGGGCTGTGGGCGTGTTTGTGTTGTTTACTAACAAGACTATCATGGCGGCGGCGGAGCTCAAGTCTAGTTTCTCCACCTGGAGATATTCTCACTATTTCACTTTTGTCGAGCACAAAGAAAAGAACGTTTTAGTTAAATGTAAGTTGTGTCTTGGCGGGTCAAAGATCCTATCTACTGCCCAAACCAGTAATTCAAATCTCTTAAAACATCTACAAAAACAACATGCTGGGACGAAGCTAGTAGCTAAGACCACAGAGACTCAGCCGACGCCACTCCACCTCCACCTATGCAACAGCGGCTGGATTTTAACCAAGGGACTGCTAGCCAGGGAAAAGTCGATAAAGCCATTGCACGGTATGTTGTAGAACACATGCAGGCTATTGCTACAGTGGAGTCACCCGCTTTCAGGGAGCGAGTTAGCATGATAGCATGTCCGGGCGGCACACGGCATATGGGACGGAACACTTTTTCCAACTACCTGGAGAAAGAATATACAAAAATGGAAAGCCAGCTAATATCGATGCAATCCAGATTGCATATAATGCATGTCAAGTTGATCAACAGATTGTATTATTCTCCAATGCAATAACAGTACTGAAATGAAGGCTATAAGGGCATTAATGGGAGACATTTTTCCAAGTAACGAAAACGTTATTTAGTAACGCATTACTTTTGGATGTAAGTAACTAGTAAAGTAACTGAGTTACTTTTGCCATGAAGTAACTAGTAATGGTAACTAGTTACTGGTTTTCAGTAACTAGCACAACACTGCTCATCACACATTCAAGCCCCCTGTGTTCATGTATCATTTCAATCTAAATTCTTCACTTTCTTCTTACACATTACATTTTAATCTAAATTCTTCACTTTCTTCTTACACATTTCATTTTAATCTAAATTCTTCACTTTCTTCTTACACATTACATTTCAGCATAGCAGTTTAGCTTCAGATTTTCAGCATAAAGCATAGCAATTTCTTCAGGAATTGCATTCTCTAGTTATATTTGTTATTTGAAAACACTATTATTTTAATAATCACAAAAAACAAAACGTATTTTTTCCAATATTTGTATATCTTTCATTATTATTTTATTTAACTGTTTTATTTTTAATTCCTAATGAATTTTTTTATTATGTTATTATTTTTATTTTTTTTCCAATTATTTGTATGTCCCTCAGTACAAAGTCATTCAAACTAGCTGCACCTTTACCAGCTTTGATAACACGTTAATGATCAATCATTATAAATCAAAACATATATAATTAAAAAGAAAAAGTATTTTAATAGCGATAGTGTTTTCTATTTTTTCACCACAGGGGGCAGTGAAATTATGTTTAAGTAAAACTAAAATACCATCATGCATTGCGGCGGTCTGTTTCTAGCTTCCGGTCCTCAGAAGCAACACGTTGTTAACAGACGTTGATGGAGATTTTATACCGAATGTCATGTGTTTAAGAGACTTTTAAAACACATACAAAGAGTTAGTTTATCCTTGGAGGGAGATTTATCCGTTAAACCGTGTTTTTGTTGCCTCCCGTTCTTTGTTCGTAGATTTTTATACCACGTGGCTGATCGGTAAACATAAGTAAAGGCATTAAAGGGAGATTAGTGTGTTTAACGGCAGTGTTTTATCAAGGAGTAGAAAGACTGAAGAACCAGGACGAAGAGAGAGAGAGGTTGTGTGTGTGTGTGTGTGTGTGTGTGTGTGTGTGTGTGTGTGTGTGTGTGTGTGTGTGTGTGTGGTGTGTGTGTGTGTGTGTGTGTGTGTGTGTGTGTGTGTGTGTGTGTGGTGTGTGTGTGTGTGTGTGTGTGTGTGTGTGTGTGTGTGTGTGATGTGTGTGTGTGTGTGTGTGTGTGTGTGTGTGTGTGTGTGTGGTGTGTGTGTGTGTGTGTGTGTGTGTGTGTGTGTGTGTGGTGTGTGTGTGTGTGTGTGTGTGTGTGTGTGTGTGTGTGTGTGTGTGTGTGTGTGTGTGTGTGTGGTCTGATTTAACACTTGATTGTATTTCACATAATTAATCCAGATCTGTAAAGTAACTAACGGTATTAAATACATGTGGTGGAGTAAAAGTACACAATTTACCTCTGAACTAGTCTAAAAGTACAAAGTAGCATTACATAGAAATACTCAAGTAAAGTAAAAGTACCTCTAAATGGTACTTAAGTACAGTTCTTGAGTAAATGTACTTAGTTACTTCTCGCCTCTGCTATGAACCTACGAAGTAGCTGTAGATTTGTTTTGTTGTGTCTGTCAGTTGCATTGAGTTGTCTTGTTTTGTGTCAGCTGTAGTTGTGTTGATTATTTCAGAGACACAGCCGGAGAAGGAGCACTGAGAGCAG